ATTCTTCTGGAAAGCGCATGGCCAGATAAATCCCCCGGCGCACCGCGAGTGGACAGTTCTAGTGACGAATGGCACGAGGTGAAGTCCTTTGACTCCCGAGGACTTTGGTGCCAAGCCAGCCACGATGGCAGCCATCGCTTCCCCCCACCTGGCCAATCTAAGGGATGCGCAGTAGCTTAGCTGATGGGTCTAATTTCCCACTGGATGGATGTTACGTGCCCAGGAAAAAAAATTGCTTCGGTTCTGCTTGCTAATTGTCCTTTCGTTTGAGCTAAGGTTTTGGCTGCAGTAAAACCTTTGAGGCTCGTTTAGTTCCTGGTTATTATTGAGCTAGACGAAGTGGAAGAGGGAAGGGGAGGGAAGAGGAGGGAAGAGGAGTGGAGGGTCTTTGGGAACAAGGGGGTCAAATTATACTTTTATGGATCTGTGCTATTCTGAAATAAGAAATGGGCTTCCAAAAGAGAATTAAGTTTACAGTTGGAAACTCAGCCAGCCTTTGCAATGCAAATCTAAGTTCTGAATAGTCAAATGTCTATGATAAAAGTTTGGTCCTCAGAGAGGACTAGTAGGATGCAAAGGCCATTGTGCACTGCCAGTTCAAACCTTGGTTCTGCTGCCCACAGACCGGTGGGCCAAGCCCCTTTGGAAACAAAAGGAGACTTTCAGAGAAGCTCTCTGTATTTGGTCCCTTTTGCAGGAGCTGTTGTTTGAAGCGAACACATAAGCAAGCATGTGGACAATTCCACTGGACATGCACAAGTATGGTGGACACACCTGAACGCATGATTTGGACCTCTGGCCTGGCAACGCAATCCTGAGCATGTCTGCCCAGAAGGAAATTGCTTTGAATTCCATTAGACATACTCCCAGGTATGCTCAAATAGATTGCCATCTCAATTTTACATGTTCTTCTACACACCTGCAGGCAGCAGTATCAAATTCCAAAATCCTGATGCTTTCTCTACCTCCCAAATAAACATCAGACATCCTTTGGAAAGCTGTAAAAAGGGGGATCCAGGCTCAAAGCTATCTGCTCTCCAATGACATACCTTCCCACGATCCACGTCTTCTGCATCCAAAGACAGTTCAGGCGAGCCCACGTCAAATTCAAGTTGTTTGCCATAAAGGTGACCCAAGGCCTTTTCTTCTTTTTATCACCCTGGTTTTACCCTCCTGACACACCTCCTTTCAAGTGCCACGGAGCGTGGCCAGCAGAGCTACCCACAGGGGCAGGTCCCTTTCCGTGGTTCCCTCCGAGATCAGCTTCTCCGTTAATGCATCGCTTTGCCTTTTGGGGGTCGGCTAGAAAGGTGTCCTTTTGTGCCATGTTTTAGAGCAGTGGTCTCCATCCTTGGGCCTCCAGATGTTCCTGGACTTCAACTCCCAGAAATCCTGGCCAGCAGAGGTGGTGCTGAAGGGTTCTGGGAGTTGTAGTCCAAGAACATCTGGAGGCCCAAGGTTGGGGGCCGCTGTTTTAGAGAATAAGCCGCTCCCAGTGGGTTTCTTTCTGCTGCCTACTGCTTTTCCTTAGCAGACCTCTGCAATTTGTGGTTGTCGATAGCTGTTGTTTTTGATATGTGCACTTTGTGATTTTCCATGTGCTTTTTCAATTGATCGTGGGCCATGTTGAGCTCTAAAGGGTGTCATATCCATGAACAGCAGAAGTAGAAACTAGCAGCCGTACCAGCAGCAACCTGAAAGGCTTATATTTTCTTTTCTGTGCAAATCTGGGCATACCATCTCGAAAACACACCATATTGCAGTGGTTCACAAACTGTGTGCCAAGGCACCCCACACCGCCACCAAAGCCAGCCACATAATCCTTGGAAGTCTGACTCAGGCTGGGCTTCTCCTCTTGCTTCTCCCCCCACCCCCACGGTTTATATTCAGGGAGCCGTAGTCAGTACGGAGCCACAAATCGAAAAAGTTTCCGAATCACTGCTGTATTGGAATAAACCTGGCTATAATAAATGGAAAGAGCGCCATCTGCTGACAGTCAGAAACACCTCTCTGGACTTCCCTATTCATTTCCCCCTAAAGGGTTTTGCCTTCTTTTTGCATTTATTAAAGGCTTGCAGAGCAAGGCCCTCCAAATAGTAATTATACTTGCAAGGACGAGAACGTGCTAGAGTTGATAGGCATGGGTTCCTCTCTTACTGACTGCGCTCGTATTACTAAGGCCTTGGGGGGGGGTCTTCCCCTCTCTCTCATTTAGGGTGGGCTAATACAGAAGAGATGTACCCCAGGGCGCTGTTACCAGGCTGGCAAAGTCCCTGGATGGCTCTCTAGAAGGCCCCGTGTCTTAGAGCAAAATACAATGAAATCAACCATTCATTTAGACTTTCTTGCTGGACCACCGTTCCCATCATCTTCCACCACAGGGTCTGCTGGCAGATGGGAGTAAATGTCCAGCAACATCTGGGGACCCACGTATACTCCTCAGTTTTCATTTATGCATCTTAAGTCAAATGTTGAAAACTCTTCTCCCATGTTGGATCTCTCTTGCTTGTCTTCAACGAATGCCTTGCAGTTTGGCTTTGAGTTTCCAACATTGATTTTTAATGTTATTTCAACGGATTGATTCCCCCCCCCCCAAGCGGCCTTAAGCAATTCTTCTGGCACTTGAAACAGTGAGATTTCCATTTCACAACAGACTAACCAAATGCATCCGTTAGATTTACGAAATCAGAATTTCTGCGCTTCTTCCGTTGCAGAACAGTTCTGCTACGATGCACCTTCATTCTCCATCTGTCGTTCTTACGTACACGGAGCAAATCTTTCATTCCCAGTAAAACTAACAAGGCTAGGAAACAGTGTATATACACAACTTAAACACATGATGATGCAGCTTTGCAGTTAGAAGCGGAGATGCCTTAGGCTGTAAAGAATGTGTGATGATTCTCCAGGTTGTTTCAAGGCTCCTCAAGCTGCAGATCAGTTTACTTTTGTTTGATGGCTTGTCATTGGGAGGTAAGCACCTCGTATTGATTCTTTGGGGGGTTGCTGAAACATAGGTGCCAAGAGGGAGGGAGGTGGTTCATGATTTCAGCCTCTGCCCCCCCTTCTGTGCAGTATCTGTCCCCGCCAAGGGGAAGGCTTCTCCCGCTAGACCTCATGATGTGTGGCCTGATTACTTACGTCAAGCAGCAAATCTACGCCAAATCCCATTAGGCTCTTCAAGCCAGGTGAACATCCACGGCTATGCTTTGAAACAGGGTTTATTGTGTGCAACAAAGGTCAAGTCCATGTATGTGTGAAAGGGACCACAGAAAGGAAAGCCAACACGTGGGAACAGCTGGGAATCACACCACGAGCTGGGTGCCCGTTCAAACGCTTAGGCTGCTATTTTTTTCACCAGTGGCAACGAGCAGTCCCTCAGCTTTAGGCTAATGAATAACAACTTGTTAAGAATAGGCACCCTACATTTTATGGTCGAGGAAAGAGCCTCCCCATCATGGTTTCTGATGCTCTGGAAACTGCCCGGGAGCATGTTTGCCTTCTTCTGTGTGAATTCTGGCAGGTTACTGCCTTTGCCTACGTTTCGGTTTATGATACGAATGGCTTGCCATTTTGTGGCTGCGTTATATCTCATTGCTTAGTTGTTATTGCAATTCTTTTTTTCAGCTTGTGGAATAAACTGTTTTTCAACTGAAAAGCTATTGCTTGTATTTGAAAGGGCGGCGTGTATCCATTATGAATCGCCATATTATTCTGCTGTTGAAATTGTGAAATTGGAATCTGTGTGTGTTCGTATTTATTTATTTATTTATTGTGGAAAGGCAATGCAGGGAAGACATTTCATTAGTTGGTTGCTTCCTGGCTTGGAAGCCAATCCACTGGGTGACCTTTGACAACCCACTGTCCATCATGCCCACCTGCCATGTCTGCAGAATGGGCTCAAAGGGACCCTCCCATGTATGTACACAGGGCTACCACGGTCAGGTTGACTCTCCACTGAAATACGGCGAGAACTCCCCTCTCTGCTGGATCCGTGTCTGTAGATTCAGTGGCCAAGTGGGTCTGAGGGGGCGGCCAAGGCCTCCTGGCAGCGGGGCAGGGTCCCAGCGTGCTCCAAGGAGGAAGCAGTAAGAAAAGCCCTTCTTAGATCTCACTAGAAAATGTTCAGCAACTTTTGCAGCTCCAAAATGCGGCATCTTGATGGCCAGTACAGGAGCTGATGACGCCTGTGTTACATTGGCTCCACTGGCTATCAGCCCATTTCCCCAAGATAAACAGCTGTTTGAACTAGGAAAGCGGAACACTGCGGAAGTTTACCTTTCTCAAGAACGACACAGGGAAGCTCGGCAACTTACTTAAAACGTGCTATTTTTCATGCCGGGGCACGGCACTTCTAACGTCTGGAGAAACAACGGCCTGTCAACTCCTCAGACCGGAGGGAGAAATTTTCAGTGGAGGCACACGTTTCGGAGGAAGGACACAACACAATGCAAGGAGGCTGAACATTCTCAGAACGACTTCCCTCTTCCGCAACAGCTTTTGCGTGGCAGCGCCCGGTGGACCCCCGACTTTCTGCAAAGGAAGGTGGACATCGTTCCCTGGCTACAAAAGACAGGCTTTGCGTTTGGGCTTCTCAGACAGAAGCCCACTACGTCCCTTCCCCTGCCCCATGGCAAAGCTTTCCCACAACTGGAGCGTGTTCCAGACTCACATTTGTGTGCAACACAAATAATTCACCAGTAGACGATAATTCAAAGAGAATCCTGCAAGATCAAGTCTCAGGAATGCTTAACAAGAAGTTGCACTTATCCTAGCTGCAGTGCCTATATAGATTCTTAGACCACGCTGCAACCTTTTGAACCTGACACCACCGTGCAGGAAAAACGGCCGGCCCATCGCACACCCCCAAAGGCGCACAGGAGTCACTTTGCCACAGAGGGTGTAAGGAACTTTCGGGAAGCTGTGCCCGCTTAGCCTCCACTTTTCGTCTCCAAAAAGAGGGATGAATCTGTCTGGGGAAATGTACAGCCCAAGCCACCCTACTTTCAGCCAGACTGGTTTTATTCTGTAAAGAAAAAGGTCCTCTAAAACTAAACAAAAGGGATTTCTCCGGCTAAGAAAGTTATTCTTGAACCAAACGAGGGCTGTGAAGCAACCCACGGCTGCATCGTGGAAAACCCATCCCTTCCGGTCCTCAACCGCTGTCAGCCATCGGAGGATGCAAAGGGGCAAAAGGGAGCCGTTTCATTTTCCGACCACAAAGATGGAGACCCTGGATTCTTGCGTGCTCTTGCGAAGGGACCCGACCGCCGGATCAAGTGGAGGGCTTTTTGTCCTCCCCGTTCTCCACCAGCTTCCTCTTTTTTTCATCTGTTCTCTGCTTGAAGATCTTATTTCTGTAGAACTGCAGCTCTTTGATGCTCTCCCTGATATCATCCAGGGCTCTAAAAATAAATGCAGGAGAGGCCAATGTATTTTTAAAAGAAAACTCCACTATACGAACCCGGTTCTAAAAACAGATCTAAGCTAACTCGAAAGAATCTGAAAAGGTTGGCCAATGTGTTATTTGGAGTCAAAAAATACTGCCGATACACCGGGCAACCCTGGGTCTCCTCTCTACACCAGCTTCAATATTATCTTTCAACTATCTGCTGCTCTTCGCCAGCAGGCAATTTCCTCTTTCCCTTTTTAGCTTCCAGGCTTCTCTGATTTTTCAAAGTTCACTTTTCCATTTTGCAATCTTAGCGAGAAGCTCACTCCTCATTTTTAAGGGTAGGAGGGAGTGGGTAGCATTTGGCAATGTTAAATGGCACGGGGGGGGGGGAATCTATGATTTATTTAACAGATGAATAATCACACCTGGAGGCTTCCAGGAACTCTACTTCACCCCTCCCCCCCAAAAAGGGGGGCAGGTGGAGGGATGGGAACCACAGACACTTATGAAAGGACTGTTAAGATAGATATTTAAAAAGTGACCTTTCCAAAAAGCCGAAGGATAAACCTTACCTGTGAGAAGCTGCTTTCTTTGGGGCAAACTCATAGTCTTCTGGATACCAGCGTCTGTCGGGGGAAGGGGGGAGAACAAACGTTCACACCAGAGATCGAAAATCAAAAGTATAGTGAAGCTGGGACCTCACCAATGAAGAAATTGAGAGAAATCACCAGCGGAAAAGAAAGAAGACGGTAAGAACGAATCTGCTGCCAGCTCAAAAATCAGTATGATTAAACTAAGATAAAATAAAATAAGTACGGGTTCTCTTACCAAGCAAAACAGAGAAGTCTCTTTCACATAAATGAAACCATCCACATGAAAAACCCATCCATGTAATAATGGGCTCAAGCTACTGGAAGCCAGATGTAGGGTGAATATCAGGAAAAAATTCTTAACTGTTAGAGCAGTATGACAACAGGAGGTGGTATGTGCTCCAACACTGGAGGCATTCAAGAGGAAGTTACAACAGCCTTCTGTTAGATCTGCCTTGATTTGTATTCCTGCATTGAGCAAGGGACTGGAATCGATGGCCTTATGGGCCCCTCCGTTATTCCATGATTCTATATATTAAAATATAGATGTGAACCTTAGTTTGTGACTGCAGGGTGTGCCCAGTCTTATAAAACTGCATTTGGTTTGACTATAGACATTGTCTTGGTGGGGCTTTGCAGCCGCTGGCCGGATGGATTTTTCTGTCTTGTTCCCCTCTGTGGGCGGATGGACGCCACCTCCCAACCTTCCCCTGTGGGCCTCCAGAGGCTCCCTCCTCCCTTTGGGCTGCCCCGCTGGGATTCTGGAATGTTATCAACCTGCAGAGTTCTTTGATGGTGCTCACGTCAATGATCCGGTAATGAAGGTGGTTCATGAACTGGGGCATGTGCTTATCCAGGAACTTCTTGTCTGCGTGAACTGAGTTTCCTTTAAAAAAAAAAGGATGGGAAAATGTGAATTACACACCTGAGGTCAAAGTCAGATTTCTCTTGCCTGGTTTCCAGTCAGTCTCCCGCAGCAACTGTCTCACGCACTGCAATTATTGCCACGGGCCCTCAAAAGGCCTTCAGAGGATGCGTGCGAGGGGCAGGAGGAATAAAATGTTCTTAGCAGGAGCCACAAATGGAGGGACTCCCTCCTAGAGAGATCCTTTCCGTCGCGACATGTGATGCTTTGTTGGATCTGATCAAGGAAAGGAGGGAAAAGATGACCAGCGGCCGTGGCAGACGGTGACGATAAGAGGGGTAAAGCAAGACACCTGGAGTGCACCAGGCTGAGGGAAATGGGGATAACGCAGCCTGAGGCTGATTTCCAGACCGACGGACTGCATAAGCAACTGCACAGGGATTTCCAATGGGTTCAGCTAAGTGCCTGCCACTCCTCACATCCTCTTGCTCTGCTCCATGAAAGGACCCAAGCACCCTCTGTGGAGTGGCATACTGTATTTGGGAGATAGGAGGAAACTCTCGGGCTCCTTAGAAATAAATTAAAAACTTGGGAGATTAAAAGCTTGGGTTAGCTTTGTGGGGGGATGCCTCAAGGCCCCTCACCTGCAAGAGGACAGAGGCCCGGGGGCGTCTGCTGCCGGACGAAGGACAGAAACTCGTATTCTGCTTGACGCAAGGAGATGGTGCTCTCTCGGACGGCCTTCGTAAGGCCAGACTGCAAGGACAAAGGAAAATCAGAGAAGTGCCTTCTTTTGCAGAGTTTAAATCGAGCGGACTTGTGTTGATGCCCTGCCTGACTTCTGACGTACACCTGACTGGCCGCAGCAGAGAGAGACAGCTTGAACAAGAACAGGGCTTTTAGTCTGCCTGTTCTCATAGGGTGTAAGAACTAATGTCCATAAACTGGGGAACAGACTACCGCAGGGGTGATATCTGAGGGGTTACTGTTCACGGTTATGCCCTGTACGGAAGGGAACCAAACACAATAGGAACAAACAGGGAAGCGGATACGTCTGCTGTGGCTCCACCGATTAACTGCATAAGGTTAAGAACAGAAACGCCACTTATGTCAAATCTGAACCTCTTGCCAAATGCTTTCCTTTTCCCAACCTGAGTTCTGGAGCGAGCCTCTCCTCTTTCTCCTGACCACAGATCCTTTTACAACCCTCCACCAAGTCTCCCCTTAGTTTTAGGGCCTCTCCCTCTGCCCCGCCGTCCAGAAAGGATGGATTCCCCTTTACACAAACAGAATATCCTCACTCTTCAAATTCCAATCAAACGAGGCAAGAATTTTCTACGTGAGGAAGAGCTCAGATCAAATGCATTAACCTGAAAAGTTGAAACCACCGGCTAAATAATTGATTATGCAACCAAGGCAATTAAGGGGAGAAAAAATGGAAGAAGGCAAACTCTGAATTTCAAAAGCAATATTGAGTTTGACAAGAAGAAACAGATGGAGACTTAAAGTCGGGAAGGGAGGGAATTGATATCCAGGAAGATTAAGATCAGACTGGCTGGATGCAGATTTGCCGAAAAGAGAAAAACAATCTTTCTTTTTTTTTACTTAAAGCGTGAGAATTGCAGGGCTGCCTCCTTTAGAAAAACTGGAAGGCCTTTTACCTTCCCGTGATGCTCTTTGCACCATTCAGACATGCCATCCAGCAGTTCATCTGGCTGGTTGATGATCAGGTTCGGTCCCTGTCAGAAAACGAACACAAAAAAGGGGGTAAGCGGAATCAGATCAGACCATTAAGTTATGCGTCTACATGAATAGCCCATGAAGAAGAAGCAAAGCCTTCCTGTCATGCCTGCTGGCCCAGTTCTCCTTTCCCCACCTCACAGAGGACCTGGTCTGCAAAAGAAGGCGACAACTGTGTGAAGTCTCTTGGACCGTGCGGGGCAAATGCCAGCAGCACCCTGGACAGCTCCAGGCCAGCTGGGCTGGCTTCTTGTCCCCTTAGGGCTGGGATCCCACCTGTTGAGCCTGCCAGCAGGACCCCAAGGGCACCCTTTAAGACAATCAAGGGAGGCGTTTCTTATTCCACTCCAAACCCACGACTTGGCCTGCAAGACAAAAGTCCCACTCTGGCCTCTTAAGCTTGTGGCAAATTGCCACTGAATGTTGCCCCACTGGTGTTGTTACACGGGCGAAAAGGTGCAATCGGATTCTGGCTGTTGTTCAGCAAACGAAGCAGAAGGTGAGCGAAGTCTCGCACGAGCTCTCAGCTCCAAAATAGACCAGCCTCTCTCTCGGTGCAAACCCATTCTTTTCAGCCAGAAGTGGCTTCGAACGCGCTCTTCCACAGCACTGTGGCCCTTTTTATTGACTTGTTTTATCTTTGCACGGGGATGCCCTTAACGGCTTCGAAACACGTGCCAAGAAGACAGGGGTCTCCAAAGGCCCCCTTCATTTCAGGAAGAACGATATCTATCCTACAGGAGGGCGGCCCATGCTACGTGGGTCTCTGCCCCTTTGCCCATTTTGCCTACAGATCTGGAATCATACAATAATGATACAAGAATAACACGCTGTGTGACGGGAACCAATCCCTTTTCCCCCAGAATCCTCAGGAAGGAGCACCAGCGGGTTAAGGCAAGCTACGAGTGTGGCTCAGACGATGCCTACTCAGAAGCAAGTCCTACGAATTTCAACAGGGCTTCCTCCCTTACGCGCAGCCCTCCTAACTGCACAGCCACTGAGCAGCAATCCAGAGGGTTAATTAACTAAAAAGCTTGCAGCCTTAATCCAGGCAGGGTGGCTTCCAGGAGAAACTTGTTCTCTCCCAGGCTGAAAACATCTGGAAATTCCAGATTTTTCTGCATTGGCCAGCTGCCCGCCAAGACTTCCGGGCAACATCCTCCCTCTCTCCCCTCCCCGGCCGCCTCAGCCAGGGGGGGAGGAAAGCCTCCTCCGAGCCCTCCGTTCACCGTCCAAGGGAGGCAAAAGGGCCGCTTACTTCCGCAAGGATGTTCAGATCCGAGTCCGTGATGAGGCAGGCCATCTCCAGGATCTGGTCCTTGTCCACGTCCAGTCCGGTCATCTGTCACCACCATGGAGAGAAGGATGGATTAGTGGCTAAGCACAGTGAATGGCTGAGCAACACACATCCCCCCCCAATAATTATGGGATGTCACACACACACAGAGAGAGCATCCAAAAGGTCCTGGAGGAGGGCTGGAACTTCCAAGAGAAAGGAACTTCTAGAGAAAGACGCCTCTCCTGCCAGACAGACAGAGGCCTGGGCCGACTCTTCCCTTAATTATGGGATGGATGGCTCTGTACTCCTTTTGCCCCCCTCCTTCCCCGCCATCACTCTGGGAAACACGTGGCAGGGGTATTATGGGATGGACACCCCCCCCGCCCTTCATTGGCCACCCATATGCATCCCCAGCCTGTGCGTGTGTGTGTGTGGCTATTAAGGGATCCTCTGCTGCTGTTATTATGGGATGGCCCTCTCTGCCCAAGCGCTCCTCCGGGCTGGCCGCCTCTGACCTCCAGGTCCACCCAGACCATCCTCTGCCCCATCGCGGCCTCCGCGCTGCTGCTGCTGCTTCCTCCTCCGGCCCCGGCCATGGCGGCTCGCCCTCGGCTC